TCTCTCTCTCTCTCTCTCTGTCTGACTCTCTCTCCCTCTCTCTCTCTCTCTCTCTCTCTCTCTCTCTCTCTCTCTCTCTCTCTCTCTCTCGCTCGCTCTCTCGTTCCTTCGTGATATCCTCGCCCTCAATCACTCTGCATTCCATTCATCACTGCATTTCTCTTTTCCCTAGCTTCTTGGGTATTTTATCCCCATTGTTCCTGGCTATTCCATGGTTGCATTCCTCAGACATTCCACCGTCTCTATCCCGTTCCTCTTCCACTAATGCTCTCGCTATCCCAGCCATCCCTGTTTCTCTCCTCCTCCCTGCAGCATCCATCCCAGCCATCCCTGTTTCTCTCCTCCTCCCTGCAGCATCCATCCCAGCCATCCCTGTTTCTCTCCTTTTCCCTGCAGCATCCGTCCGTACGTGAAGCGTGTTGCTGAGGGCATGGGACATCGCTCGAGGCTCATCATTCGATCTCGCACAGCGTTACCTAATGGTAAACACGTGCTGGAAACGTGTCAACCCGTCGACAGTCATCCGAGAGCATAAAAACAAGTCGTGAAGTGTAGTATATGTATGGCCTGCCTCCCTGCACGCGGGATCGGGCCTGCGTGCCTGTGTTTCTGTCTGTCTGTTGATGTAGCCGTGCTTGTATGTGTCTTCTTGTACGAATGTGATGCAATCGGCAGTATTATGTGTTACGTAGCCGATGGTCATGTGTCACGGTGTCATGTCACACGGTATGTGTAATGTCCCCAACATTACATCTGTTACTGTGTTGTAGTTATTGTGACGCGCCTGTTTCGTTCTTCTTACAACGTGCTATAGATGTTTACAGCGTTAGCTACTTACACCGTGGCGCAGCGGTCGTCTTCATCAAAACCTTCAGAAGTTTAGGGCAGACGAGTCGTTTGTAAAATCTGTTACGACTTCCTAAAATGAGAATCGGATGTAACTTTTGCATTGTTTGCTTACGAGCGTTCCTCCGAGTAGGACGAATAGAGGTGTAGGGGAATAGAGCCTAACAGATTCTATACCCTCTCAATAACTCGAGGAAAAGCGTCAGCGCTACCTCGTAGTCATGGCAATCAAACATGGCATCGTTGTTCCAGGCTGGCCCGCGTATCTGACTGTGACGCCCCCTTGTCATGTGTTTCAGACAGCAACAGCAAGCTGCAGAGATGTGGGTTGACGCGCAGCGGCCCGCCGGACGTGCTTCCAGGCGCGCAGTCACGGCTGACGGCGGCCCAGCAGGAGGTCGCGCGGCTGAGTGTGGAGTGTGAGACGAAGACTGGGGAGCTGGGCGTCATGAGAAGCCAGCTGACACACTCTACAGCTGCCTTCGATGCGATGAGCGTGCTCGTACGCTACCTCACCGAACAGGTAAATACACACCTGATCATACAGGTACGATACCTCACCGAACAGGTAAATACACACCTGATCGTAGAGGTACGATACCTTACCGAACAGGTGTATACCTCACCTTACAAGTAAATACCTCCCCATACAGGTAAAAACACCTTACCATACAGGTAAAAACACCTCACCATACAGGTAAAAACACCTTACCAAATAGGTATGGTATCTCCCCAAACAGATAAAAACATACACACACCTCACTGTACAGGTACTTTGTACCATACGTACTTGAGGCAAAGGTTTCGAGGACTTGATTTTTATCAGAAAGTTCCAGTTGGTGTGTGGGTAAGCTACGGGGCAACTGCTAGAATGGGAAGTGATGTCTTGCGGGTGGGATGGAGGGTTGAACGTGTGATGTGAGAGAGACTTACCTCATGTTGTCTTCCGTTTACAGCTGGATGCCTTCTCCAACCCCCAGCTGGTGTCCGAGCTCGCAGACGTCAGACAGAACCTGACAGATGCCAACAATACAATCTGTAAGTATCTAATTAGCTCTCCCTTAAATCTCAGTAGTCAGTCACCAACACGGCATTACTACGTGCATATCGCGAGGTTCCCTCATTGCTTGTTTTATCATTTACTACTAAAATGGTGTGGCTCAGTGATGATGAGGTATACGTTGTTCAAACTTACGAGGTAGAGGCAGTGGGTCTGTGTACTGTAGAGACGGTCCAAGCTTCTCTGTGCTACTGACGTCGATGTCTCGTTTGCCAAAATGATCTCACCTCGTTAGCGGGAGTCATTAGCGCATCCTGGTAACGAAGCTGACACGTGTTTCCTTCGTCGTTTGTCTAGGTCAGCTGAAGGTCGACCAGCAGCAGCTGCAGACGACGATGACCTATCTCACAGAACAGAACAAGCTGCAGCTCGCTAGTTTACAATCTCACCACGAGGAGGCGCTGCAGTCTCTGCAGGAGCAGCTGAAGGAATCGCACTGCGGCGAAATGAGCCGAGGTTAGTGAGGTTATATAGATGATGATGATGATGATAATGATGATGATGATGATGATGATGATGATAATGATGATGATGATGATGATGATGGATTGTAATATTAATGATGATACTAATAGAATTGTAATAGTAACAAAAATAATAACGAGGATAAAGGATTTTTAAACTTGCATTTCACATTGTTAGCATGCTTACCAATTTTATTATATGTGTATGGACACATTGTCTTCCCTGCTGTCTTCTTCCCCTAATTAAATAATCGGTCACATAATCCAGTAGACTACCGCCTCGACTAGAACTCTCCATGTTTGCGTTGCAGTGGCGGAGAAGCACAGGGAGGAGGTGGAGGAGGTGCGTGCTGCGGCACGGCGGGCGGAGGAGGAGAAGGTGGCGGTGTACGAGGGGAGGATAGCTGAGCTCGCGGACGCACACAGCACATACCTGTCACAGCTGCATGAGGAGCAGTCGTCACGCGTCGCAGGTACATGCCGCCGCACACCCGCCAAGCTGCGAGCCATGTGATGCCAGCCAGCCTAACCATACACTCACTCACTCAGCTACACATCCAGGCCCTCACCCACCCAGCCAGCCATCCAACCCTACATAATCTTCCCCTGTGCCTCTTACCTTGCTTACTTCTACCTTTTCTCAGCTAGGTGACCGTGTTACTGGGCTGTTTAGTTGTTAGTTAGGAGTGGTGAGAGTAGAAAACTTGTAGAGGAAGTAATCGCGTGTGGCTCCCTCGTGTATTAAGCCGGGGATTGGCTGTTTGATATAGACGTGGATAAACATTTTAATGTTCGCATAGTATGCGCGCATGCCTGCGTGCGTGATTGTGTATATAGCTACGTAGATGAGTAATCTGTGTATGTGAATTCATGTATTAGGCTAATTAAACAGCATCACATGAATACATTCATCGTTTTCTTCACACAGAACTCGTGGAGAGTCAGAAGCGAGACACAGCGCACACTGAGTCACAACACGACCTGGTCCGGCAGGAACTAATGGTAAACTCTCTCTCTCATGGACCCTTTTTCTAACCTCTAATTATTCTAATAGAGTCATTAAACTGGTAGTAAAAATATTGGCAGATATACCTTGCAATTAAAAACGTTAAAATTATTTTGCATGCCTTCAGTGTCTGTGGTGATATACAATCAGAAGTAATAAATAACTAGAGCACTCGGAGAGCACAGACCTCTGCCAAGGCAGCTCAATTCTCTCACTGTGAAAAATGTTATTAATTAATTAATTAAATAATTAATTGGATCCGGATCACCACCGAAATGTAATAAATTCTAAGTTACCCCATTTCTGACCTATCCTGGAAATTTTATTAATTAATTAATTAATTAATTAGTTAATTGGATCCGGATCACCACCAAAATCTCATCAATTCTAAGTTAGCCCATTTCTGACCTATCTTGAAAATTTTATGACAATCCGTCCAGAACTTTTTCAGTTAGGCTGTACACAAACAAACCCACAAACCAACAAACGCACGCCGAACAAACACACGCCGGTGAAAACATAACCTCCTGCCAACCTCTTGGCGGAGGTAATAATCCATAGTTACCTTAGTCCTAATACCATACATGCGGTAGAGAGTTGGGTTTTAGAAATTCGAGCATGCTTCTTCGTTCGTGCAGGACGAGCTGAAAGAATTCATTACCTTAGTCCTAATACCATACATGCGGTAGAGAGTTGGGTTTTAGAAATTCGAGCATGCTTCTTCGTTCGTGCAGGACGAGCTGAAAGAATTCGAACTACATTTTGAAGCTCTCAAGCAGAGATCGAAAGACATAGAAGAAGCCTTGCTTAAAGATACGGACACAAAGATACAGGTAACTGACCCATCAACCAGATAGATAACGAATCAGGGAAGGGAGAAAATTTACAAAAACAATCATGTTGCCTCTAATAACTGCAATAATCATATCTAATAATTAACATCAAGTGAGACACAATGTGTAAAGGTTATAGAGGCTACAACTATGTGCTTACCTCTGATCGCTGACATCTGACCTCTGACCTACAGATCGTACTGGCAAAGTTCAAGGACCTTCCTGCGGAGGTGGAGAGTCTGAAGATGGTCGTGGGGATGAGGAATGAAGAGATTCGGCAGCTGCGCACAGAGAACAACGAGATCAAGAAAGAGGTGACGACGACATCGCGCTAAATATCGCATTCAATCATCGATGAGTAATCGTATTCGTAACGAATAATGTTTTTTTTATTCTCTCATCATTTACGATTTTAATTTGTGCCACATTTAAGTTGAATCGAAAGTAGTATTCAATTGGTTAGTCACCAAGTGTCATTCATACTGTTTGGGAGATTTTTATTGCAATACATGGTGTTGAATTTTCTATTGAGGTTGTTATTTGAGATTGACAGTATTTGTACCTCGTGGGGGGTGTTGCTTTATAGTTGGAACAGCTGCCCATAGCGAGGGACCGCATCCTCTTCCTGGAACAGCGCAACGAAGACCTCAAGGCTCTCGTGTGCATCACAAAGGAGAACGAGAGGTAAGTGAGCGAGAGCACATCAATCAATCACAGATCTCTACCAGTGTGCTGTGTACTGTGGAATCAATCACAGATCTCTACCAGTGTGCTGTGTACTGTGGCGTGTCGAGCTATTTAAACAACCAGCCAAGGCTCTCCCAGTGGGCAAAAAATATCAGTGGGACGTCAGTAAAAACGGTTAAAAAACCGTTTGACATCAACCGTTGACGTCAACTGACCATCAACTCGGGTTCGAAAATTGATGGTCGGACCATGTGTTAATTCTACATTACATGCAATACTTAGCAGGTCGTGTCGTAGTGTGATCAGTGAATGCAGTCATATAGAGCAAACAAACTAGGGGAAATTACAGGTGGTTGTTGAGAGCACATGTCGCTAAATACATGTGATGGAACTGAATCGTGAAATGCATATATTATTATAGGTATAGGTAATAGGAAAATATTGTTGTTTACTCTGGTTTCACGACAAATACAATATTATAATAACAATAGTAGACATAGTCACTTACCTTCTTGTACGTTTTTCTAAACACTGATACTGTGTATATTTGATGGATTAGCTGGATTCATAATTATGCCTGTCTGATTTCTGCTGATAGGGTCTATGTCCCCCAGGGTAATGCCAGAACGTATCCTGGGTACGGTCCGGTATACCGGAACGTACCCTGGTAACTATCTGATATGCCGGACCGTACCTCGCTTACTCCCCACCGTACCCTGACTGTCCCTTTTCCGTCCACTACTGATGTCGCAACATTTGAAATATAGGCCTACATACAGACCGCCAATCTTTATATCTTTGTAAAGTTGGATTGGAGTATGAAACTGTGAAACCAAGAAGAATATTCAACCTATATACACTGATGAGCGCAATCCTTTTGCAAATATCGCGATGATCGGGAATGCGTTTTCCTTTCGTAATGTTTACGACACTTTTGCGCACGCGTACACTGCGCATGCGAGATTTTTGAAAGATGGCGGCAAATGTTGTGGAACATACAACCGCCACTGAAACAAAGTCGCCACCAATAAAATTATAAGCAGAGTTGTACTAAATTTACTCTATGCTGCAGATGTAACGTAAATAATAACAATCGGTCGCCCGGGAAATGCACCACATGTACCGAAAACAAGCCTAGACTATTGCCGTAAAGCGGTACGCTTCCTGTCAACAGTCGGTCGAGGGGGCGAGGTACGGTCCGGCATATTAGATAGTTACCAGGGTAGTACGGTCCGGTATACCCAGGGTACATTCCGGCAGTACCCAGGGAGACATAGACCCTATCTGCCTGATTTCTTGATTCTTTGATTTCTGCTGTCAATACATTTTACCCATAATGCTTTGCGCGTTTGCTCCACGATGAACACATGACGTACGCATAGCTATTTATTATGTATTTAATAATTTATTGAAGATATTATAATGAACATAATTAACATGATTAACATAAGAAGACAACAAATTAATTTAAAGTTGATTCTAAAAACAAAAAGTGGTCAATATTTGATTTCTTGTCGATGTCGAGGTGACATTTCTCTCAAACGTCTCCC